TTGTTCCATATCCAGTTCTAACTATTGCTTCCTGTCCCACATATACGTAGGTTTCTCAGGAGATAGATAAGCTGGTCAGGCACTCCCATTTCTTTAAGAACTTGTCATAAGTTTGCTGTGGTCCACACAGTCAAAGGCTTTTGTGTAGTCAATGAAGCAGACGTAGATGTTTTTCTGGAACTCTCCGGCTTTCTCCATAATCCAGCGCATGTTAGCAATTTGGGCTCTAGTTCCTCTGCCCCTTCGGAATCCAGCTTGTACTTCTGGGAGTTCTCAGTCCACATACTGCTGAAGCCTAACTTATAGGATTGTGAGCATAACCTTGCTAGCGTGTGCAATGCTTTTTTTCCCTAAAAAGCAGTAGTTATATAAATAGTTATATTAAAAACCTATGTTAGGAAGACAGCCCATCTGCTTTTTCCTATTTCTGTGCCTTTATGTTCACTAGCTCAGAACAGAGCCATCAAGGCAGGGTGAATTCCAGGTCTTATGAACTGTGGCCTCTGGGGCCACCAAAGAAATTTAAGTCCTGTGTGCTGTAGGAGACTGGGCATGGTAGAAAAATTGCACCACGCTGGTGAGAAGAATGAATAAGACGCATTACCAAAAAAGAAGGGCAGAAGAGGACCTAGATTCTCATAAAATACAAGTTTCTCTACCTGTACATGTGTGTGAGAAAGAGCATACACACATCAGTGCAGATTGGGAGGTCATGACTCAGTTTAAAGGGGAATTCCGTACATCTCACATTCAGGAAGAAGGCTATGATTAAGAATCTAGGTATTTCTACTCAGGCTGAGACCACACAGGTACATAGTATCAGATTTGCTGCAGAAGTAAAATAGATGCATTCAATTTTTTTAAAAAAATGATTGTATGACTCTAAGGCCAGTAAAAATCACCCCAGCCCTTTTTTGTTTCCAAGGTAGATGTTTTTTTCCCCTCTCCTGCCATTGGGGATTCTGCTTTTTTCAAGCCGGAGCGATTCAGTGTTTTTCTCCATGTAATTAGTTGCCTCATTCTCCAAAAGGACTGGAGGACATGACTCTGGGTGGCATTCTGGTGACATACCAAGCCAGGCATGAGAACACCCACCCTAGCAATCTTTCACCCCTGGTTGCCCAAAGTATTGTTTTTTTTAAAAAAAAAAAATAGAAGACAAACTAACACGTTTAGCACTAGATCACCTTATCACTGCACTGATATATTTATTAGTTTATTGCTAGATCACCTCTGCATGGTCAATAAAAAAGGATAATAATCAATATGAAAGAGAAACAACTCTGAAAAATAGCAGCAGACTATGTTTCCACAATATGTGTGTGTGTGTGTGTGTGTGTGTGTGTGTGTGTCTGTGTGTCTGTGTGTGTGTGTGTGTGCGTGTTCTATAGGGAGTGTTTTCCCTGTTTCCCTAGTGCCGTGCAACACTTCTAGCAGTCCTCCCGCTTTACTATGAACTCTAAAAGGAGAGTTTGGGATCAGCAGAGGGCGGGATCCAAGGAAGCGGGGCTGTGGCACAGATCAAACTGCATCATACTGAATGGCCAGTGTAGACCCTGGCACTGAAACAAGCAGTGGTCTCTGTGTGACCACATAATCCAAACAGAAGTGTGAAATAGGGTGTGAATCAAGCTTCAGTATCATTGCAGCCTAAGTCTGTTCTCTAGCTGCTAACTGTGGGTGAGCCCACTATTCTTCCTGCCTACTTTTCCTTTAAGAGGGACTTACCTTTTCAAACAAGAGGGGGTACATTAAAACACAGAGGATGGTCTTCTGTAAAGTAAAGGAGAAGAACAAAAAATAAGGGTGGGTGGGTTTCCAAGTAGAGGAAACTGATTTAAAGGATTTCTGTTCCTTTGCTCTGTAGATAAGAGAATGTTGGCAGGTATGCCTTAATTAACCTCCATACAAGAGGCTGCTGCCATGATCCGTCCATGGTCTCTCTCTTCTGCGCAACTCAGAAAGGGGACCCATGGCCTCTTTTCCTTTGATGTGTAGGATGATGTCTCCAGGGGCTGAGACAAAATAGAATCTGAAACATATGATCTGGGTTCCTTTTAATATTTGAACAGGTCTCGTAGGGATG